GCAGGACCTGTCGCCTTGTGATGGAGTGGTTGGGAAGGTTTCCACACTGCCTGCTGACCCGGTGGTGGACCGGGTTCCTCGGCTGGTGAGCCGGTGGATACCTGTGAGTGGTGGTGGTGCCGGGGAAGAGTCTCTAAGCACGAGGCGCCAGGTAGTGTTGCCGGCCCGTGCAGAGCGGCCGTGTTGGACCTAGCGCACTCCGTGGACTCTGCAGGCCACCTGGGAGTGACTAAGACGCTGCGACGGATCAGGGATTACTTTTACTGGCCAGGTATGGACGCCGAGGTGAGGCGCTATTGTAAGACGTGCTTACCTTGCCAGAGGGCAGGGAAGAGCCAGTCCGCGATACCGAAGGCCCCATTGATCCCTGTTCCAGCGTTTGGGCCTGCTTTCGAGCGTCTGCTAGTTGATGGAGTGGGTCCTTTGCCAAGGACGAAGAAAGGGAACACCTACCTAATGACAATAATGTGTACCTCCACCAGGTTTCCGGAAGCCGTCCCGATGCGACGTTTAACATCGCAAGGAGTAGCCAGCCAACTGCAGCGATTTTTCTCGTGGGTAGGGATGCCCAAAGAGATCCAGACAGACTGCGCAAGCATTTTTCAGTCGAAGTGGTTCCGACAGACGCTGGCAGGATGGGGAGTGACTAAGATTCGATCGTCGCCCTACCGACCGCAGTCGCAGGGGGCGATCGAAAGATTCCACTCCACATTGAAGACTGTGCTGAGAGTGTTCTGCGCAGAACAGGGGGCTGAGTGGGATGAGGCCATATACCCCGCGTTATTTGCCATACGCAACGCGGTGGTAGAGTCACTAGGATTCTCACCATTCCAGCTAGTGTATGGACACGAGGTGAGAAGTCCCCTGTCCATGCTGAGGGAACAATGGACACCGGCAGCAACCGTGGGAACGGTGAACGAATATGTCCAGAAGTTTAAAGAACGTCTCACTCTGGCTAAGGAACTGGCTGGGAAGCACCTGAAGGAGGCGCAGCGTAAGATGTCGGAATGGTACGACAAGAGAGCTACACAGAGGGATTTCCAGGTCGGGTCCCAAGTAATGGTCTTGTGTCCAGGTAAAGGTAGGGTGACCGAGTCACGGTTCGAGGGACCATACCAAGTGCTGCGACGGTTGGGTCCGGTGTCGTACGAAATTGGGAAGTCGAACAGATCCCGAAAGAAACAGGTGTGTCACGTGGACCGCCTGAAACCCTTCTTCACGGTGGAAGGAGGAACCGCCAGGCAGGAAGGAACGATGACCCGGGAACCCCAGCAAAAGACAGTTCTGTGCGTACAGGTGGACCAAGAACTCCCGGAGGAGAAAAGTAAGTGGTCCAGGGCGGACGGCACCAGTCTCACCCGCACTGAGAGTCGGACAAGGATCAAGGTCAAGCACATCAAGGGAAGGACGACGTAGTGGCGGACGCCCTATCCCGCATACACTAATGAGACATGACTCTTATTTTAAGGGGAGGGGTATGTGACGGAGTTCCCCCCTTATAATTCTCCCACGCCTGCAGTAAGAGTCATGTCTACTTTTCCCAAGCGTTCTCTACGTTGCAGGCTACAATTTGATATATGGGAGAGAGTGAAGTGTTCTCGGAGAGCCGAGAAATTTGAGAAATAGTAATATTTTGGCCTGTGGTTTAGGCCCTTTAGGGAGCCAAGATGGCGCTTACCTCTCTGATCTCCCGCCAAAACCGTGTGACGTCAGTGGCACCGGATTGGTCACCGGCAGCAGTGTGGCACCGGGAGCCAATGAAAACCTCCCATAGTAAAAGTGACGTCACGAAGGAAGGGGGTCCGGCCAGCGCGCCGAGCTGGCGCCAGCAGTGAGACACGACACGTCATAGAGGTCGGACGTGCGACGAGTGGTCCTGTCTGTCGGACAGCTGTTTCCCACTACCGTGGATTTACGCGTCACCTGAAGTCCGCCAGTACTCTGAGAAGTCTTCCCTAGTTCATGTGTTGAACCAGAAGAGGGAATTGACGGTTATTTGAGCAACAAGTGCTCCAGTCAGGTACTGTGCCAGTAGCAGTGAAGCCGTGCAGTGACGTATATTGACGTCTGTGGCAATTCACCAGTTTGTGACAGCGTAGTGGCTGACAGAGCCACTGGGTAGCTGAGGAAGAGAGGACTATTTGGGGAAACCGAACGACTGTAGCTGAGACGTAGGCGACAGCCGTTGCTGGGAGAAGACGACGGCCAGGAGACCGACTCCAACCTTCAAGAAGTCAAGGAGGAGGATGGACCTGCAGTGAGGAGGCACGGAGACGACGCGCTAAACGGTGGGACGACGAGAGGCTCTGGTAGGACACGACGACGTGTAGTGTGGGGGCGTTCCCGACACGAGGACCAGGAGCTACATCTCGACTCTCATCGGAGGATAGGGTGAAGTAGGTGGTTCTAGTTCCCTCCCCATTCCCCTTTAGTTAGCTATATTATTTGGCTATATTATCTAGCCCGAAGATTTTATATGTCGTGAGCAAGTCTCACCTATGTCACGGTAAAGCACCAGTGTGCTAGACAGTACTATCAAGAGTACTTGTAGTATTCATGTTGATTATTGGGGTGTACAGACACCAGGAACCAGTGATAAATTTACTGTGTTGTGTATATCTTTCTATAGATTTTGATATGAACATATAGTGGTAAATTATATATAAGATTATGCCAGTATTTGGAGGTTAGGCTATGTGCCCAGAAACTATTTATTTACCATGTATTGATGATTGATTTATATACCATATATATGTCTATGTTCATTCAGTGAATAATCATTTGTGAGTACAGTGAATTATTGCGTTATCGCCCACGGGAGAAAGTACTGAAAACTCCCGTGTTAATATTTCATAATATATTGTTGGATAAATAACAGTGTAAGACCATTACAGTGAATTTTCGCGCGGAGAGTCCATTGCGATCAGCTGTTCTTGACACTTGATGAGGAGGGGAGGTGTTGCCACCTAATGATCACGGACTATTCGTGGGAACTTCCGGCCGCGTCAGGATTTGCTGATTTATTTGTTGTTGTGACATCTTTCATACATTTTAAGTAAAATACAAAACTATCTTAGTGTTTTTATCATTCCCTCCATTGATCTTGTGGCTATATTATACTGGTAAACATAGAGTGATAACAACAAGTACCTGCCTGATTCCTGATCTTTGAGTGTGACCTTGCCAAGGCTACCACTGAATACACCAGTCCACTGATGGTGTTATTGGCCACCTTAAACACCAATTGGCGACCTTGTGATTAACCGTAGAGCCCTATTGTTGGGGAGGGCACACGACGGTCGATGTGATCGAGTCGTGTTCTCACTCTTTCTTAATAAGAGGCCGTTAAGATTGACTGGGAGACTCTCCTGGCGTGCAGTGGCGCCGTGAGGATCGAGGGAAGACCCGCAGGGCTACGGTGAGTTACCTTGAGCATAACTATTGCTCACCCCAGAGTTTTGTGTGTGCGAGTGTGTGGTGTGGATGTTTGTTTCTGGCTCCTGCGTGGGCCTGTTCAGACGTATCTTCATTTGGCCTTTGCGACCTGTTGTTTTTGTTTGTGGGGCGTTATTCCTAACAAATTCGACAAAAATCGAATATGTCTGAAAAATTTCTAAAAATACCACAAGGTTCTGGCAACACCGTGGTGCAAACCATTTTATGTTATGATAAAAAATAACTTAATTAGAGTAATTTTCCCAGCCGCAACTGTCCCCAATCCGGTCGTCGTGGCTTGGGTGCGCCATAGGGTGTTGTTTCGTACGTCATAAACGTCTATTATGTTGTAATAGCATGGAAAATAGCTTGTTATGCATAAACAAATTATAAACTCACCCATTGGCAACAGTCTCGAGTGACAGAAGGGGGAGGGTTCAGCTGAGTCAGTCACACATTGTATCTCCCTGCTGGTGGAGCTATTGTCCACGCGGTCTCGCTCGAATATCGCATTTTTTGTCGCATCTACTCCACAATGCCACGCGTGTCGAACAGAAAGAAAGCTCTAAGTGCCAGAGGCACACACGCTAACCTTGTAAAGCTGCAACGGAAAGCATCTGCTGCCGCTTTGCTGCAAAGCCAGATTCTGAGGAGTGAAGATAGAGGTAACCTCTCTGTGAGGCGTGTGGCGGCGGCCGCTACCTCACTACACACTCTCCCACCCTGCCCCACACCACCAACCGCTCCGGGTGATGCACACACCACTCTTGATGTTGCATTTACAGCTCCAGATGTTGCACATAATGGTCTTGGTGTTGCATTTATAGCTGCAGATGTTGAACACACCGCTCTTGATGTTGAAGGGCCCAGCACCTCACATGATGTTTCAGCAACTCTCAACATTTCCACAAAGCATAAATGTACCCAGAGCAGTGCCAAAAAACGAGTGAAGTTATTTCGAGAAGGAAAAGAAGGAAAAAATGATAATGACAGTGGCAGTGACAGTGACAGTGAAGGGAAATGTCGAATAAATCCACGTGAGTCAGTGCTAATGGTGACAGATAAGAGGCTTGAAAATTACCTAGATGACAATTGTATATTCAAGTACTGCTCAAAGGCTACGGCACGTCATAAAATTAAAATTGTGCAACATGATGTGCAAGTGACAAAAACCTGTAGTTTTTGTTATTGTAAACATACTGAAGCATTGAATGCAAATCATGAAAATCTAATATCCTTACTGTACAGCAACATGCTAAATGGCAACGGATATACATATTACCAAAGCATGTGTTCTATAAATAACATAAAATTTGTATCACATAAACCATATAACGAGATCCAGAAGAAGATAAGAGATGCTGCTAATGAGAGATGGGTGCATTTGCAAGAAAACACTCGCAGTATTATATTCAGTCATTACAAAAATCATTTGGATAGACACCCCATTGCTGGCGTCCTGGACATTGATGTGTCCTTTGATGGATCTTGGCATACAAGGGGCCATCATTCACAAATTGGCAGTGCTTTTGTTGTGGAAATATTCACAGGGCTGGTTGTGGACTACAATACTTTCTGCAAAAACTTCAAGTGTTCTGCGTTCAAGCATAGAAAACAAAATGGAAAAATAACACAGGCTGAGTTTGACACTGAAATGGGTAAACATTTACCGGATTGTGACAAGAACTACAATGGAACTGCCAAAAATATGGAACCGGATGCCACGGTATTGATGTGGGGTCGATCTCTAGACAAAAAACTCAGGTATACGACCTTGGTCGGTGATGGTGATTCTTCAGCCTTCAATAAAATTTGTGCAATGAATAATGGTGATGGACCATATGCAGACGTAAGAGTGGATAAGGTTGAGTGCATAAATCACTTCAGCAAGAGACTTGCAACACAGCTTTGTAACTTTCAGAAAACAGCTGTCGAATTGAAGGAGACAAAAGAGCCTGTCAAAAAGACCAGACGAATGTCATTGGTCAATGGGAAGGGAAAATTAACTGACAACACCATTCTGAAGTTGGCAAGTTACTTTACAAAAGCCATTAGGGATAACATCAACTAGGACTGGAAACAAATGAGGGATGCCTGCCTGTCTGGACTGTTCCATGCAACGTCGACGGATGAAAAGCCAATGCACATGCATTGCCCTAAAGGCAAAGACTCTTGGTGTTTCCACCAGCAAGACATTACAAATGAAATGACCCCACGATCACACAAGACGATGAAAGTACATTTTCAGCTACCCAGTATTCACATGACTGAAGTCTTGAAGATATACAACAATCTTGTATCGGAGGACAACATGAACAAGTGCCTGAAGGGGAAGACTCAGAATCCAAACGAGTCTCTACACCACCGAGTTTGGAAACTCGCCCCCAAAGACAAATATGTTAGTCGAGTATTGGTAGACTTCGCCATGGCAATGACAGCTGTCAACTACAACGCTGGGTATATGATGGGATCTCTGACGAACCTCCTTGGTCTACCACAGAGTGACATTCGGGACCGGTACTTCAACATGAAGGACAAGAAGATGCACCACCAAGCCAAGAAAGGCCCCTGAGGAAGCTGACCCTGGCTATGGGGCAGGTGCCTACTAGTGCCATTGCAGTGCCACCTTGAGGACCCATATTTCAGACCAATTATTTTAGGTTAGTATGTTTTAGTGTTATATTTTGATATTACATCATAAATAATGGTAAATATATAACTGCTTTGAAGGAACTGGGTTCTAGGCTCTTTGAAACAACAAGGGGCCCTGGAGCTGCCAGCTTTCTTTTCCAGCGCCTCAGCATGGCGATACAGAGGGGAAATGTGCACTGCATTCAGGGTTCCTGCCCGCCATCTGAGGAGCTGGAGGAACTCGACAACCTATGATAACCATCTTTGTACCCTATATGTAACTCCTTTTTTGTAACAAAGTTCAAATAAAAAATATATATATGTGTACATACAAAAGAATGGGGGTGGTAGGAGAAGATAATATTGGTGTTCAGTGAGAAACTACAAGGTCTCCTCTGAATACTTTTTATTTTCTTCTCCGAGGCTATGGGTCCCCACATTGACACCAGAGATGGTACCCTCACAAACTTTTTATAACTGCTTGATTTTTATTTTTTTTTTTTTTTTTTTTTTTTTTTTTTTTTTTTATTTTTATTTTTTTTTTATCAGGCGATCTTCATGGAACTTACACACCTTACTGAAGGCATGCCTATCTACAAGGATGCAAATTTTGAATGAAATTGGTCGACATCAACCTCAGCCACAGTTGGTTGAACTTTGACCTTTGTTTTCTACAGGTAAGTAATTAGCAACTACATGGAAATCTATCAGGACCTAACCAACCACAGATTAGAGAACTACTTAGATTCTGTGACAAATTTTCACTCAATCAGCAGATATCGGAGCCAACGAGAAATGAAAATATTCTAGATCTGGTCTTTACGAACAATGAAGACATTATCAGAGACATTACGATATCAGATACCACATATTCAGATCACAAGCTCATTGAAGTGCAAACGACCATCAATACTCAGAATAGACCTAAAACGTTGATAAAGCGAGAGGGGCTATTCAGTAAATTCAATTTTAATAATAAAAGGATAGACTGGGAGATAATAAACAGGGAACTTACAAACATTCCATGGGGAACAGTTCTAAGTAATACAAGTCCTACAGAAGGAATAGAAAAACTGACTTCAGAAGCGTATCAAGTCTGTCTGAAACATGTTCCTTTGAGGAAAGCCAGAAAGAGATCTAACGTAGAAAGAGAACGCAGACGACACTATAAACGCAGGAAAAAAATAACGGAACTTCTTATGCAGACACGAATTTCCCGTCAAAGAAGGAATAATTTAAATAGGGAGATTGAAGAAATCGAGCGGAAATTGAAACACTCATATGAAACTGAAGAAAGGCAGTTAGAACAGAAAGCCATTCAGGAAATAAAGAAAAATCCAAAATATTTCTTCTCATATGCGAAATCAAAAGCAAAAACCACTGCCAGTATTGGACCTATTCGTACAAGTGAAGGTTCATACACGGAGGATGACAAAGAAATTAGTGAAATCCTAAAAAAGCAGTATGAGGACATGTTTAGCACTCCAATAAATAACATGAAGGTGGAAGATCCAGACAATTTCTTTATGCGGGATATTCAAACCCCTGTAAATATAACTGATATAAACACGAGCGCACTAAATTTTGAAAAAGAAATTGAAAACATGCCCATGCACTCGGCCCCAGGTCCAGACTCATGGAATTCAATATTTATAAAGAAATGCAAAGTGCCGGTAGCACAGGCACTCAGTATAGTGTGGAGGAAGAGCTTGGACATGGGGGAGATACCAGATGCACTTAAAGTAGCAGACATAGCCCCTCTACACAAGGGAGGGAGCAAAGCATTGGCAAAAAATTATAGACCAGTTGCACTAACATCGCACATCATAAAAGTATTTGAGAGAGTGATTAGGAGTCAGGTCACCAATTTCATGGAGACCAATGATCTTCACAACCCAGGCCAACATGGATTTCGAGCGGGAAGATCGTGCCTCTCACAGCTACTTGAGCACTACGACAAAGTCACTGAGGCATTAGAAGAGAAACAGAATGCTGATGTGATATACACGGACTTCGCAAAGGCTTTCGATAAATGTGACCATGGCGTGATAGCACACAAAATGAAGTCAATGGGAATAACCGGTAAAGTAGGACGCTGGATACTCAGTTTTCTGTCAAACAGGACTCAGCGAGTAACTGTCAACCATATAAAATCTAGTCCAAGTGCAGTGAAAAGCTCTGTACCTCAGGGTACAGTCCTTGCACCGCTGCTTTTCCTTATTCTCATATCAGATATAGACAAAAATACAAGTCACAGCTTCGTATCATCCTTTGCAGATGACACAAAAATCAGTATGAAAATTACCTCGGCTGAGGACATTGAAAAACTTCAAGATGATATTAATAAAGTTTTCGACTGGGCATCAGAAAATAACATGATGTTTAACAGTGATAAATTCCAGGTACTCAGGTACGGTAAAAATGAGGACCTTAAACATAATACAGAGTACAAAACACAATCAAATGTACCCATAGTAGGAAAACAGCATGTAAAGGATTTGGGAATAATAATGTCTGATGACCTAACGTTTAAGGAGCATAACCAAGCAAATATTGCGACAGCCAGAAAAATGATAGGATGGATTACGAGAACTTTCAAATCCAGGGATCCCATCACAATGGTTGTACTCTTCAAGTCACTTGTGTTGTCCCGTCTTGAGTACTGTTCAGTACTCACTTCCCCCTTCAGAGCAGGAGAGATTGCTGAAATAGAGGGAATACAGAGAACATATACGGCACGCATAGATGCAATAAAGCACCTAAATTATTGGGATCGTCTCAAAGCCCTCCAAATGTACTCATTAGAAAGAAGACGAGAGAGATATCAAATAATATACACCTGGAAGATACTGGAGGGCCAAGTACCAAATCTACACAGTAAAATAACAACGTACTGGAGTAAACGATATGGAAGAAAATGTAGAATAGAACCAGTGAAGAGCAGACGTGCCATAGGCACAATCAGAGAACACTGTATAAACATCAGAGGTCCGCGGTTGTTCAACGTCCTCCCAGCAAGCATAAGAAATATTGCCGGAACAACCGTGGACATTTTCAAGAGGAAACTAGATTTATTCCTCCAAGGAGTGCCGGACCAACCGGGCTGTGGTGGGTATGTGGGCCTGCGGGCCGCTCCAAGCAACAGCCTGGTGGACCAAACTCTCACAAGTCAAGCCTGGCCTCGGGCCGGGCTTGAGGAGTAGAAGAACTCCCAGAACCCCATCAACCAGGTATCAACCAGGTATGGTTGAATTACTTTTTCATTTATTATTCAATTTACATGAAGCTTGCACATTATATGTAGAGTTTATCCCTCTACACAATTGTGTATTTTTATTTTCCTAAGTCCATTTATTGATTTTATAAATATTTATAAACATTATGTTATTGCATATTTTTGGGGGAACTTTGAAAATTTGTATTATTGCACTAAATAAATTTGGGATAGAAATATTCCTAAAACACCTCTATTATACAGTAATGTGATAGCTGAGTGTCATGGAAATGATTTCGGTTGACAAGTGTTTGTTATGCAATGGTGGAAAATTTTGATAAATTGTCTAAAATATGTTTTTTTTTCCTCCCTCTCTACTCTCTATTTAGGCTGCGATGCTGAAACTTGGACCAGGTGCAGCCCTTTTCACATGTAACACATCAATAAATTTTGATTGCACTAAACAACTTTTAATCATCCCCAATAACGCCCCCTTGTGTAATTGACTTTGACTGTGCTGTGTGCCGTGTGTGTGTTCTGTGTTCTTGTTTTATGGTATGATGTCTGCTGTTGAGTGGTGTGACACATGGTGCGTGTGTTTTGCGTATGTTTTAAGTTGTATATATGTATTTCTTGTTTTGTTTTTGCCTTTGGTTTCAATGTGTTTCTCTGTGCACTTTTTTCGTTACTGACACCTTTGGCACGCCCCGTCAGGGTTCTGTAGCTTTTGTTTTTTGTATGTTCCCATGTATTTTCATTGTTCTTTGTTTTTCACCTTTATGTTATATTGCTGTGAGTGCCCTGTTATCTGTATTATTGTTATTCTGTGTTTCTTGTTATTCTATGCTCTCTGTGTGATGTTACTGTGTATGTTCTGTGTTGCTTTTTCCCTGCCCCGAGTCAAGTGTTGTGGATGGTCTGTGTACTCTCTCAGACGCTAAGCTCCGTAAAACTTACCCAAAGCACTAAAACTTAATTGGTGTTAGTGAGGGTTCCCTGTATGGAACCAGGTCACAAGCGGACAAGTTGTCGACTAATTCTGACCAGGAAAATGCTTTAGTTGTGTTTCCATCATTACTAACATTACAAACGTTCTATTATTAGAATGAAAGTATGATGGACAAGGTAATGTAATAGTTCTAACGCTACCCTTGTTGTAATAACCCTTTCCCTACTTCACTCAATACCCCAGCTTAACACTGTTACAGTCCAGTGTGACCCCTCACTGGACTGCCACGAATATAAGCTGAATATTAAACAAGGAGGACACAACAAGAACAGGGGTTATGAATTTATAACTAATAATTAAAATCATTAAAACACTGCCACCACCTTCCCAACCATAAATAAATGTGTCTAAATTATTGTTTCCCCAGGAAGGAAGGGACTCATTTATCATGGAACTCAAAAGGGCAAGTAAATAAATCTTAATGGATTAATACATATCTTACTGATATTATATCTTACTGAACTGAAGGGGGATTCAAGAGCAACTTTAATATTCATAAGATGGAGGAGAACACAGGAACTTTCCAAGTCAACCATCAACCACATATAAAAGTGACCAAGTAGAAAAATATATTAAAAAGGGGAATTAACTGAATACCACTGGAACAAATAATTTTTTTATTAAATAAAGCACGTAAATAAAAATCAAATTTTAAATGTCCTAACACATCCTAAGAGGCAATGGGAACATTTTGAGGTGCATTTACTGTTGTACCAAAACTCTGACAGACATTACCTTAATCCTGCAACCTCGGCTACGATGTTAAGTGGCTGCCCCCCAGATCAGGATATCTGGGCCCCAGTACACTCCAAGACACACTAACTCATCTTTTCTAAAAACGCTTACCAGTGGGACAGGCTCCCCCACTTAGTTCCTAGGCCCAATTTAACTCCGCCTATTCCAAGCCTATGGCCAATGGATTTAATCACAACTGGGTGTTCTAGAAGCTTGGCCAATGGCATGGACAGGCACTACCCTCGGGGACCCCGCCTCAACAGGCCTCCATGGCTTCAACCAATCAGAACCAGGCTTGACCATAAGGGGTCAATTTCTCTTGACAGAAAACTGCAGTAACTGGAACAGCACCAACGACTGTTCTGTGAAAAACGTTGGCTGGGCACCAACATGTAATTTGAGAGCACAAGTTTATTGGCTCTGAGGTACTATTTCCAGTTCGTCACTGGGAAGATGGAGGGAGAGGGGAAAACGGATTGGGGGAACAAGTGACTTCAAACTGTTTATGACCACGAGGGTCAGACTGTGACAAATGGGAGGGATGACCAAAGGGAGAGGTGGCAAGTGAGGGAAGGGAAGGGGAAGAGTAAGGGGAAGGGGAAGGAGGAAGAGGAAGAGGAATGGGAAGGGGAAGGAGCTATGGTCTGCACATACCATTACAGTAAGATCATGATAGTATGTTCCTCGCCCTGCCCTAGTTACTCTGTATTATTCACTCATTTATCCATATCTAACCTATGGTATCTGTGAGAAGTTGGGTTTTTGGTCACTTCTCAGCTAACTTACATCTGTTAGGTAATAGTAGGAAAAAGCATTTTGCCTCAGAAAATGGTGGAGATGTGCACAGGGTGTGCACAAAAGTCTACCTTCCTTGGTAGTGGAGATAGACTAGTGAAATCACATCCCTTTCGAAAGGGGAAGCCTTCAGCTTTCCAAAGAAGTAACTCTCGTTGACGTAAGTATTCTGTGTGAATAGTTACAGGTTTTCCCTGAATTCTGTACCTCGGGCACCTGACAACAGAGAGAGAGAGAGAGAGAGAGAGAGAGAGGAGGCTAAGGGGACCACCTCAAGTACCAACGGCTCCACTTTGCCGGTGACGTGACGTCATCAGCATTTCCTGCCGGGTTTACTCATATTGGAAGCGGTACGAAGGCCTCTGCCGAGGCTCGTACCAGATTGGTCGAGTGCCTGGCACCAAAGGAGCCTCTGCCCGAATTCTCGTGCCAAAACTTTGCTGGTGTGAGATTCCTGCGCCTCAGGAGAGTGTTTCTGTGTGGAGGATCTGTGCTGTCGAGACGTCGGGAGGTCAGGTTCTGGCCAAGACCTTGGTTTCTCCTGCCTATATCAACCTCCAGCCAGCCCAAGTTGATTCTACGCCGCTCTGTGATCGTTGCTGTAGAATCCAGCGATTGCGGGCTCCGTCAGAAGTTAATTCAGAAGATAAGTGAAGTCATAGCCGTCACATGAGACACCAACAGGTGCAACCGGACTGTTTCAGAGTAACCATGTGACATCGGCTTCACCTAGAGCAATCCGTCATTTCATTGCCCCGTAACAGTGAGATATAAGAATCAGGAAACGATTGTATGTGTTTGAGTGATGATCGTGGTAAAATCTTCGATATTGTGAGCGTGGACTTAGATTATTTCCAGTCCTCGCAATTGTGTTCCAGGCATCCCTCGCGGCGGCCCCCCCCCCTATATATATTCATATATGTACATACATCTGTACTAGCGTGCTTTCATTCAGCCTTCAGCAATATATCACACTTGTGTTCAAAACTGGTGCATAACTGCGAGCGCGATACCAAGTTTATTAGTGGAAGAATATTAGGCGACTCTCTCCTCTATCTGTCTCGAGCACGCAGGAAACACCTCCCCGCCGTACCTCACCACCTCAGGCCCCTGGGCCTGGCGCCTCACCTTGCTCGCTACCTCTGAGCGTCGGTGTTCCAACCCGACCTCCTCCTCACTCTGTCACTCCTCACTCCGTGTGTAGTCTTCAATAAACAGCTGGGGCAGTGAGTGTGTGTATGCTTGTGAGTGTGTCATACCGGTATAAATTAACGTGAGTACTCAAACATAAATTTCTCTGTATCTTCTTTTGTTGTACAAATTCCTTGTGTTGAATTTAATTAAACCGTCCGGTGTTCGTTCTCACTAGTTTCCCAACGGGACCGAGTTCGATTCCCCGAGGAAGCACGATAGGTAAAGACCTACTACAGCTTTTCTGTGTGAATACTGTAGCCAGATCTTCAGTGTGATTGTCATCTTACACATTCAGATCTTACACATTTAGTTGTCTTTGTGATGTGTGTATTTTACTGTGTTTAGTGTGGTTTATTGTTATACCATCACTGTGTGTTAACCCGTGTCCATGCCGTTCTGTCTTTATTTCCAGGGGACCTGCTGTAAGTCCAAGTAAGACTAATTTACTTTGTGTTTATTATTGATTTATTGACACGTGAGTGTGTCAATGTGGTGTGTTGTGTTTACTATATTTATGTGATCTCTGTGACCTGGTGTACTTTGGTTTAGTGTATTGTTGTTGGTCTCAGTGACCCGTATTGGTGTGTACAATATTATTACCATGTTGTGTTGACTCAGTGTCGTCAGTGTACTTGCGTTCAGTAGCTCGAGACGTCAGTATACTTGTGTTAAATCATTCTTGAGTGTCATTTCATTAATTTAAAGTAATTTAATACGTGGTGATTAGTAATCGTATTGACTGATCGATGTTAGTTAAGCAGTCTTAGTGATGCCGAGCTTTAACGTAAATTCTTCGTGAATTAAGTGAGCTGTCAAGCTTTGACAGATCCTGGTACGATTACTCAGGGATTGCTAATTACCCGTAGCCATTGTTGATTTCATTGACATTTGTTTTGATTGCATGTCTTGGTGACAAAGTAACGTAATCATAATTACTGATAAAAGTAACTGACTAATGTCATCATTGAGTGTTGCACGAAGACTTGTCTCAGTGACAAGTCTGTCAGTTGTTGTCATTCAGTCATCAATCACCCCACGCTGGCCACGGATCTCGCATCTGGCACCAACATGGGGCCGTGTATTGTTGCAACTATAATCACCCTCATTGATCCCGGATTCACATCTGGCACCGACGAGGACAGTTGTCTTTCATTGTATGTTATTGTTACTTGCCGCAGTCTCGTCAAGCTGCCATTGTGTTTGAAGTGGTTGCCCCCTTTTTGTTAAGTGTAGACAGGGTCAGCAATACCGCGAGCGGTCCGAACCGGAAGCAGTTGTTCCGGCTAGTTTAGCCTTGTCAAGAACCACGTCCGACATTAACGTAACGTCAGATTATTCTTGCCATGTACCGTTAGCATTAAGTTTAATGAATAAACTAATTGTTAAGTACAAGTGCCTCTACGTTCACACCTTCAGACCCTTGCACCCAGTATTGGCTTTGCCATTATTTGCATTATTTGTGATACTACCGTGATCCATTTTATGTTGTCTGGATTACTTGCATTCGAACTGCGTTCATGGCCATATACATCATATATAAATTCTAATTTTGTTGTGAGGACCATTCGAGCTACTCTGACGACCTCCCTCTGAGGCCCCTAGAAGCTCCATGACCCAGTGGATAAGGAGTGCCAAGGATTTGGACTCCTGCAGCTGCTCTATGCATCCCTGGTCAGTCATTAAAGTATAATCTGCCCTCAGCATTTGTTTGATGCTAGTTCAGTCCTTTCTGACTGAGGTTTCTTGTAACCTATTCACCACAAAAAAGGGATAATCTCACAGTATCTATGCCTGAGGGTCCAC